AACGCTAGCCCGAAGGCGTCGCGCCATCCATAGAGTTCCCTAACTCGTATGGATACCTAGGACACTCCTTTGAGTCATCCAGGCAGGCCCCTGAGGTTCTCCCTCAAGGTAGCTCAGTTGATACGGCTTGGTAGCAGCACGTATGTGGGAGGCAGGTCGGAGCTTTTATCACCTATACCCCCCTTATATATGCTTAAAATTAAAAAGCCCAAGTTACCTGAGTAGACAGATCTACGCCAGTCAATCAGAAGAGCCTTTTCTCACCAGTTCTTGGCCGAAGTCATAACCCCAAAGTGCGGGTTGTGACCAAGTGCGTGGCACAACTGGACCGGGAAGTCATACTACTAGGACCGAGTGAGTACTTGTCTATAGGGAGAGTAGTGACCTACTACCGGGAACATTAGGTACTTGCTGAGGAAGTGACAGTTGGAAAATAAAGAGCTTTGTTCGAGAATACGGAGATGTTATAACTTTGAGAATGTAGTACTCACCAAGAGTCATCCCAAGAGCTGACCGAATGCCAAGTGGGACGACAGCGCTAAGAAGTATCCTCCACATTGAGTGTGGGAGGATCCGCCGCTTCTTGTCTTAGTATCATAATCCATGCGCACCCTGGGGGTGGTAGCTCATTCATTACATCTTGGTAATAGCACGTATGGGGGAGGCAGGTTGGAGCTTTCATCACATATACCCCCGATGTCCTTAATATTGTAGTTGCCTTCTTTAATGGTGCTCAACTGCCAAAGTTTTTCACTCACACATGACTAGTGATGCTTTCAAAGGTGGAATCTCCTCAAACTTTCTCTGATATTAGGCCAATTAGTTTGTGTAACATGTCTAGCAAAATTATTGCCAAGTTGTTGAATGCTAGGCTAAGCTCAGTATTGCCCAGAATCATCTCACACAACTAGAGTGGTTTTGTTAAAGGGGGAGCCATTACAGAAAACATTCCGTTGGCTCAGGAGATAGTGAATGATATTGGGAAACATGTGGATGGGGGTAATGTAGTGTTGAAGTTGGATATGGCCAAAGAATATGACCGGGTTTCATGGACCTATTTATGTTATATGCTTCGGAAGATGGGCTTCTCTAAGAGATGGATTGAGATTATTCACAGATATATAAGCAATAATTGGTACACCCTTATTGTTAATGGTTGTAGGCATGGTTTTTTTAAAATTCGGGAGGGGACTAAGACAAGGTGATCCTCTTTCCCCCTCTCTCTTTGTCTTGAGTGCTTAACTGTTGTCCCAATTGTTGATTGATATTCAGAAAAATAGGAGGTATAGAGGTTTCTACATGAACAATAGAGGACCCCAGGTGAATCATCCTGCTTTTGCTGATGATGCTATTTTATTTTGTAATAGTGGGAAGGCTACCCTTCAGCAGGCCCTAGACTCTTTATCCACTTATGAACATATTTCAGGACAACAAATCAATAAGGATAAATGCAGCTTTTCTCTGGCTCCATCTGCAACTCAAAGATCTATCACTAGGATAAGGAGAATTACTGACATGAACCACTACCAATTCAATATCTTGGGTGCCCTATCTACTCTGGTAGAAAGAAGGTATCAATTTTCTCAAACATGGTTAGCAAGGTGATTAAAAAAATAAGAGGGTGGCATCTAAAGTTCTTATCTACGGGAGGTAGAGCAGTACTTATCAAACATGTACTACTAGCCCTAAACATACATACACTTGATGCAGTTCATCCAACCAAAGGCACTATTGTTACAATTGAGAGGTATCTTGTTAGGTTCTTTTGGTCAGGCCAAGAGGATAGTGACAGATACCATTGGACTACTTGGTCTAAGTTGTGCCTACCATATAATGAGGGAGGAGCTAACTTCAGAAAATTAGAAGACATATGCAAAGCTTTTACTGCTAAACAATGGTGGATAATGAGGACCACAAATTCATTGTGATCTCAGTTTGTTAGAGCCAAGTATTGTAGTACATACCATCCACTGTTTAGGCAGTGGTCAGCCGAATATTGTAACATCTGTGAAGATTACAACTAATCAAGAAGAGGATGATGATCCAGTATGTACAACATGTACTTCTGGAAATTTTTCTGTGGCTTCAACTTGGAATTCTTTGAGGCAGAGAAAGGATTTTGCTCCTTTTGACTCCAAATTATGGCATAAAGCCATTCCCTTCAAGATGTCTTTCTTGTCCTGGAGAGCTATACATGGAAGACTGTCAACGGATGATAGAGTCACCAGGTTTGGCTATAATTTACCTTCTAAATGTAACTATTGTCCACCACCAAATATGAGCCCAAGCGTGGAAAATTGTGAGCACTTATTTTGTCACGGACAGTTTGCGTAACAATTGTGGGGAAACATTGCTGGAAGGGTATGAATTGAACATAGAAACACCTCCTTGAGGAACCTTTTCTCTAATTGCTGGAACCATAGAGCCGGTAACTCTGTAGCTTCCTTTGTTTGTAAAATTCTTCCTCTTATTTTTGTGTGGGAGTTGTGGAGATCAAGGTATTGCAGCAGGTATGAAATGGAGAGGCCATCAATCAATAGATCTATTTATTTTATTACCTTTAATATTGTCCAGATTGTTAACTCTCATTTCAGAAAAATTGTTATTGGTTGTAAATGGGAGGACATTTGTAAACTATTTGACATTTCCCTGCTTGAAAATTCCTTCACTATGGATAACTGGCTTAGACCACCACTATTGTTTGTTAAGGTAAATAGTGATGGGAGTTGTATTAATGGGAGTTGTGGGGGTGGTGGTGTGGTCAGGGATAGTGTTGGTAGGATGATTATGGCATATGTGATGCCTTTGGGGAAAAGATCCAGTAATTTTGCAGAAGCGGAAGCACTCTTCTTTGGTTTAAAATGGTGCATCCAACAAGGTTATAGGTTGATTGTATGTGAGACCGATTCCTTGCTGCTGCTTAACTGCATTCAAGATTCTTGGTCCACACCATGGAGGATCAAAAATACTGTAAAGGAGATAAAGCAGTTAATTCAAGATAAGAATCTTGTCATTAAACATTGCTTTAGAGAAGCAAATCAAGTTGCGGACAAGATGGCCTCTCTAAGTCACCAGTTTGAGGAGATATTCATGTATACCTACTTTGACACATTGCCAAGGCAGGTTGGAGGGTTACTTAATGTAGATAGATGGAAAATTTCAACTTTCTGAGTCAAGAGGATAAGACCGATCAATCTAGTATATGAGCCACCATGAATTCTAGAACTTATAACCACTTTCTGTTTTGTGAGATTGCCTCAAATCATTGTAACTTTTGTATGAATTTGTTGTGTCAAATTCACATCTTTCTAAGAAGGCAAGGCTATCCCTTCCTTCTTCAAATTGTAATTGTTGCCTTACAAGTGGTAATAAGATTGTGACTTGGAATTAAAAAAAATACACCATTTTCCAAGCAATACACACTAAATAGGCACAATTAATTGATGGTTATTTAATCAACAACAATAAACATGTAGTTGAACAAGTAGAGAAATCCAACGGCTCAATTGTATAAACACGTAATAAGAATTCATCCTACAAAAGGTTCAATCAAAACCCTAAATAACAAATTAGTTATTCATAATAGTATGCAAAACTACAATACTAGAATTGATAACCAATAATGAAAATAGGAAGAAGGAAGTGAAAAACTCGTAGAAGAATTCTCTGCCTTGCTCCTAGTATGTTCTTGCCTCCTTAGATCGAAATTCACTCCTTAAAACGTCCAATCCCCCTTCAAAAGTGAGTGGAAGGACTATTTATATGTGATAGGGTTTGCATGGGGCGAAATAATACAAGCCCACTTCGGAACAACCTTTTTAGGTTAGCTCGTTCACTCTCACGTGCGCACGCGAGAGTGAACGAGAGCGAAATACTTCTCTTTTCTCTTTTCCTTCTAGGTCTCTCGTGCACTTCCATGCCTTTTTGCCATAATCCGTTATTTTTTTCTCAAGCTTTTCCTCAGCTAGCTCGTTCACTCTCTCGTGTGCACGCGAGAATGAACGAGCAAAGTTCTTCATTTGTCTTTTGGTCCCGAATCAACTTCGTTTGCTCACTTTTCGTCCAACTTGTTTCTACACATAAGAATGCACGTAATGATCATAATTCATTACAAAAACTCATGTAACCTACCATAACCACACAAGTTATGAGATAAAAGTACACCGAAAAATATGCATTTTTGGCCGTTTATCAGAGGGGCATCGTAGATATAATTTTATTAGTTAGCATATATTTAAAAAAAAATAGCTGAACGACCAATTATGTCAAAAGCTCAAATATAAATAATGGAACTTTTCTAGAATGGACCATGTGCAATTCAGTATTTTCAAATACAAAAATTTGGTTCATTGCTTTCACGAACTCTCTCTCTCTCTCTCACGAACTCTAGGACTTTCTTCATTTTTCTTATTGGATTCAAGTGAATTTTCTTTTGTCTTCAATTTGTGCTTAAATTCAATAATGAGATATAATAAAGAAATAAACTATGCATGTTTGTGTGCCTGCATGTATAATAATTTACACTAAATATAGGGTTTTAATTTGCTGAAAACCAAACGTGTGATGCTAGCATTGAAGACGCTAAATACCCTTCCACGTTCTCGTGAGTTTAACTCTAGAAGTAGAGAGGAACAAATTTAATCGAAGTCTTTCGCGGATAAGGAAAAAAAACATGAGTTTAAGTTAGTATTATATATTTTCAGTGTGAAAAATATTGATTAATTTATTTATTGTAGCAGATAATCTATATTATTTTTATAGTTATAAATTTCACAATTCAAAGACGTTTGCCTACAAATATCATTTAGATGACCTGTTAGTTAAAATAAAATAAAAATACACTTTAACGTAAACAGAAACGATTGAGAAGCAAAAGCCAGAACTTTCCATTCTTATCTGCTTGACAGCACTAAATTGCTCTAGAAAACACCAGTAATTACCAAAGAGTAGCAAACTCTAGAAGCCACGTTAGAAGAGTTGGATCGTTACTTTAGAAAAGTAGCCCAAATATATAGAAGACCCTCGAAATTTCAATCACTCTAAAAACTCCCTATAAATATCGGCATAAACTAACTAAATTGTCAATCCAAGAAAGTGTTCACTTAGCTATCATCAATTTGAAAAAATGGCACTGATTCCTCAATTGCTAGACGATATCTTCCAAATTGGCTCAACTAATGAAACCTGTAACCCACGAGTTGATTGGAAGGAAACGCAAGAAGCTCATGTGTTCAAAGCTGATCTTCCAGGTTTAAAGAAAGAAGAAGTTAAAGTTGAAGTTGAACAAGGAAGGGCTCTGCAAATTAGCGGCGAGATCGGTGCTGCTGATCAGAAGAAGGAGAATGAGACGTGGCGACGTATCGAGAGACCACGTGGCAAGTTCTGCAGAAAGTTCTGGCTCCCTGAAAATGCTAAACTTGACGAGGTGAAGGCTTGTATGGAAAATGGGGTTCTCACTGTCACAATTCCTAAGCAGGAGGTCAAGAAACCTGAGGTCAAAACCATTGAGATTACTGGCTAATTAACTCTAAAATCTGATAAGTATGTGTGGCATTTCTCATAAGTATATGAGTTTCTTTCTATTTTGTTATCTTGTAACTGGTTTGTAAGCAATAAAAGTTGTTTGTAAAATATTCACGACTCGGGATCCCAAAATTTTAATTTCTTATGTTTATACATTGGCATTAGGTTTGGCAGTCGAACTTTAACAGATGAATTAAATGTTGTCTCTAACATTATAAGTTCTTTAAATAGTTGTGATTCACTTAATTTAATGTAGTATTAAAGTAAGTATTTTAAGCTCATGGCTTAAATAATGTATTATATGTAAATACAATAACAAAATAAATAGTATAATAAATACTTAATCAATCACTTATTTCATTCACTTTTACTTGTCCACAATTGATTTTATTTCATTCACTTTTACTTGTCCACAATTGATTTTGTACACCCCTTAAAAAATAATAAATAAAATATATAATTTATCATGACATGTCTAACTTGTATAAGCTAGGATTATATACATACAAACTATAGTACTACAAAAATAAAAAGGAAAATGGAAATAAATTGTAGTGAGTGAGTGATCAGCTTGTGCACTTAACTTAATAAGTAGAACCATGCATTGTGGTCAGAGGCGGATGTAGTATTTTGGGGACGGGTATTTGTCACACTCCCTTTTTACCCCACAAAGATATGTATTATGGATTGTGGGTTAAAGAGTTTCTCCAATTAAAGTGACAAACTTGAATAGTGATAATTTTATTTACAGAGTCGCCACTTGGAATTGATTTTTTGGGTGTTCCAAGTCACCTTTTATTTGAATCCCTAGTCAAACAAAGATTTGACTCTATTATTATTGGTCTACGAAAATAAAGTTCGGGTGAGGAACTTTATTGACCGGGGAGAAGGTGTAAGGCATTCTCCGAGTCTCGTGGTTCTAGCACGGTCGCTTTATTGACTACAATTTGGCTTGAATTAATTTTGGATAAACTATGATTTATTGGTTTCCATATTTTATGTATCCGCTTTTAAAATATAGAATTATCTTTGAAACGAATCACGTGAGTGAATCCGTTTTGTTTATTGTGCCAAAATCATGACACGCGTACGTGTACACAATTAATAGCATTTTTATTATATTAAGATTGTTTTGGCCAAAGTTGCGCGAACACATACTTCGGTTTTAATTTTGAAAATCACAATTATGTCACGCGAACGTATACATAATCGCGATAGATTCATTAAAAGCACGCCTAAAGCACTCTAAGAGGTATTCATTATTCTTCCTAAACTTGAGATTATTGTAAGGTCAAGATTTATGGAATTATTGTGGAAGGGGTAAGATTTGACTATTATAATTATGAAATAAATGGAGACAAAAGGCTAAATCTTCTTGAATCCTATCAGCCCCAAACTACTCCAAACATAATCAAACATCTCTAAAAATCCAACTAGCTAATCAAATCCCATTCACTCATACTATATGAACTAAAACAAATGTTAAATAAGCAACCTTTTAATTTCCACCAAGCAAACCTATGGCCCATTTTGATACACCATAAATCACAAGGCACAATACCAACTCAACTACTGTCTTCTTCGAATGTTTCCCATTTTACATGTATAAAAATTAAACCAAAATTATATGCTTACAGAATAAGAAAAAGAAAAGGAAGAAAACAAACAAAACAACCACAACCTATTTGATTAGAGCTTACTAGAAATCCCTTTATTTATTTATTTTTTTTTTAGTAGTTATTTTACCTACAAAAGAAATTCTATAGTGCCATGAAATATGCAAATCAGTAACTTCCACCCATCAAGTAAACACATGAATATAAATCTTAACTCATACAAATTCTAGCGATGTTCTTGAACAAACATAGGCAACCAAATAATTTAATAAGCTATCAAAGACATTTAAACAAAATAAACGCACTAAAAGATTAAACACGAACATGATATTAAACTAAAAGTGAATCAAAGAAAAAAGTGACCTCTGTTGAGCATAGCTTTTCACTATATTAATAAAGAGCCTTGAGTGTTGGGTTACAAGGAAGAAAACTAACCAAACTCGACCGTGGACTGGAGCATCAACTGAAACGGAACGGCAAACTTGCCTCCCTCCACTGAAACTCGCGTGTTTTAAATGGGTAAGTGTTGCTGCGTTTTTGCAGCAATTTCAGCCGTGTTTTGGCTTGATTTTCATGGATGTTTTGTGGGTTTTTACGGGTGTTTTTAAGGCTGGGAGTCGGACTAGTTTTTATCGCTTTTTTGCTATTTTCGCAACTGATGTTTTGCTGGAAAAAGGGTCGCTTTTTAGCTGCTTTTTGGAGCTAAAGATGGAGGAAAACATCCATGAAGCTTTGATGGTTGATGAGTTATTTTTAATGGAGATTTTGTGGTAGTATCATGGCAAACTCAGTTACTGCGTTTGGCTTTTGGAAAAGAAGAAAAAAAANATGTGTGTTTTGAAAGAGGGACATGTGGTGGGGGGTTGTGAGTGGGGACAAGCATGGAGGATAAGGAAAAGTGGAGTGGGGACAAAATATGGGGGACAAGCATGGGGAACAAAGGAAAGTGGGGTGGGGACACACGTGGGAAGATGGGAGCGAAAAAGATAGAGTGAGAAGTGAGATATTAGTGAGATAAGTGGGAAAATATTCAAGCATGATCAAAATTTAGGTGCTCATAGCATGCCCCTCTTTGTTTGGAAACACGAAGCGTTTTCAAGCAAAGAAAAGATGAGCGATATCACTAATTTTTGGCCATACCATTATTCAAAAAGGAAGAGATAAGAGAAAAGAGTGCGACCGAGTCTTGGATATGGACAGCCTACATATCTCGGGTTATAAGGGAATCAGGTCGAGTGTAGCTTAAGAAGAGTGATGGAATGATGAGTTGGAGAGTCGAGTGAGGTTCCGTCGAGGCTCCAGTCGGTGGTCCTATTATTACATCAAAATCAAAAACACTAAACAAACCTATCAGCTATGAATTACAAGATTCCTATTTATAAGTCATCTAAAACTTGATCTTGAGTTTTGACTGGTTCTTCACACAGACTCTGATCTGAACCTTGATGCTTGCTAGCTACAGGTGCTAGTTCATTCTTCTACGACTTCTTCTGATCAAAACGAAAAATGTAAAGCTAGTTACTTTAGTCATGTCTTGAGCTTTTCCATATCCTTTTCATCTGCTTCTGCATTTGAATTCACTTCTTTTCCTTTTCTTTTCCTTTTCTTTTCCTTATTTTGGATTGAGAATTCTTCTTTTGGTCATCTAGAACCCTCAGCCTCAAGGTAAAACAAAAACCTGCTCAGACATCAAAATAAACAAACGAACGAAATTTTTCTGGCCCGGTTTTCACTAGAAAAATTTCGCTAGTTATTGTAACAAAATTCCAAAGTACTTTTTTATTGAAAGAAACTAAAGTGTCGGGAATGGTGTACCCTGGGAAAACATGAAGATAATTTATTTATTTTTTTGGAATGGTGTACCATATATTAATAAAGATATCAGGGAGTGGTGTATCCTGTATTTACGCTCAAATCAACTAGGGAGTGGTGTATCCTATATTACTAAAAAGAAATGAAACCAGGGGTTGGCACCCTGTATTACTAAAAGAAAATATACCCAGGGGTTGACACCATGTATTACTGAAAAGAAAATGTAACCAGGGGTTGGTACCCTGTATTACTGAAAAGGAAATGCAACTAGGGGTTGGCAGAAAAGGAAATGCAACTAGGGATTGGCACCTTGTATTACTGAAAAGAAAATGTAACTAGGGGTTGGCACCTTGTATTACTGAAAAGGAGATGTAACCAGGGGTTGGCACCCTGTATTACTGAAAAGGAAATGTAACCAAGGGTTGGCGCCCTGTATTACTGTAAAGGAAATGTAACCAGGGGTTGGCGCCTTGTATTACTGAAAAAGAAAATGTAACCAGGGTTTGGCGTCCTGTATTACTGAAAAAGGAAATGTAACCAGGGGTTGGCGCCCTATATTACTGAAAAGGAAATGTAACCAGGGGTTGGCGCCCTATATTACTGAAAAGGAAATGTAACCAGGGGTTGGCGCCATGTGTTACTGAAAAAGAAAATGTAATCAGGGGTTGGCGCCATGTATTACTGTAAAAGGAAATGTAACCAGGGGTTGGCGCCCTGTGTTACTGAAAAGGAAATGTAACTAGGGGTTGTCGCCCTGTATTACTGAAAAGGAAATGTAACCAGGGGTTGGCGCCCTGTATTATTGAAAAGGAAATGTAACCAAGGGTTGGCGCCATGTATTACTGAAAAAGGAAATGTAACCAGGGGTTGGCGCCATATATTACTGAAAAAGGAAATGTAACCAGGGGTTGGCGCCCTGTATTACTGAAAAGGAAATGTAACCAGGGGTTGGCGCCTTGTATTACTGAAAAAGGAAATGTAACCAGGGGTTGGCGCCATGTATTATTGAAAAAGGAAATGTAACCAGGGGTTGGCGCCCTGTATTACTGAAAAGGGAAATGTAACTAGGGGTTGGCGTCCTATATTACTGAAAAAGAAAATGTAACCAGGGGTTAGCGCCCTGTATTACTGAAAAGGAAACTAGGGAGTGGGGACCCTTTGTTTTAAAAATAAAAATAAATTAGGGAGTGGAGACCCCATGTTGGAAAAAAGACTAGGGAGTGGAGACCCTGTGTCTAAAATAAAATCAACTAGGGAATGGAGACCCAATGTCTAAAATAACGTCAACTAGGGAATGGATACCCTATGTTGGAAGAGAGACTAATGAGTGGAGACCCTATGTTGGAAAAGCGACTAGGGAGTGGAGACCCTATGTCTAAATAAAATCAACTAGGGAGTGGAGACCCTATGTTGGAAAAGGAGACTAGGGAGTGAAGACCCTATGTCCAAAATAAAATTAACTAGGGAGTGGAGACCCTATGTTGGAAAAACGACTAGGAAGTGGAGACCCTATGTCTAAAATAACTTTAACTAGGGAGTGGAGACCCTATGTTGGAAAAACGACTAGGAAGTGGAGACCCTATGTCTAAAATAACTTTAACTAGGGAGTGGAGACCCTATGTTGGAAAAGCGACTATGGGGTGGAGACCCTATGTCTAAAATAAAATCAATTAGGGAGTAAAGACCCTATGTTGGAAAAGCGACTATGGG